AAAGTCAAAAAAATTTGTATGTTAAGTAGGATAGAACAGAATCCCCATGTTTCAACTGTATCAAATGGAAGGTTGTAGTCGTCACTCAGTTCAGTGTAATTCGCTAATATATCGAATGTTTTCTTCACGAGCTTAATCTGGCCTCTACTCGTGATCATATAAGGATTCATGCCTGCTAAGCAGTTCATTGTTAAGCATTGCACCTTTAGTAACGACGTGAAGCATTTGGATGGTAATTTACATAGACTCTTCAGTGGTTTAAGTCAGATGATTTGTTGCTTCATTGAACCTAGTTTATCGGCCTGCCGAAGCTTCGCGCTGCACCTTCGAGCAAGATGCTTCGACTTTTCGGCTGCTTGCTGCCCGCAATCGATCATTCCGGTCTTTGGAAGAGAGACTATGACGTTATGTCGTCCTTTGCGGTACATTTTTGTTGAAAACTCGCATAAGCACAATTGACCGAGCAGAGACTCGGGACCAGATAAGTTCTCTACTCATCGAAGCAATTATGCAGTTGGGTCAGATATCAGCGACATCAGCCATCCATTGCTAAAACAATTTCTGAAATCAATTTCATGCATCCTGGAACCAAAATTTCAGTGAATACCATTCATGTACCTACAGAGCTGAATCATAAATGAGTTCTACCCTCCATTTGTAAAACTTTCAGAGTTGGAATGGCATAAACATGATAATACATTGCCTCACGTCACAAAGTTCAGGGCAATGAGAATCTAATCTTGTTATGTCGAATCCTCAGCGTCTCAATCTAACTAATAAATGTTTTTTATCTTAGAAAATAAACAGTAAGAATATGGCAATATACCGACGAAAAGTAGACGAAAATGCAGCTCGTACTACTGCTAGTGACGGCGTATGTTTGTTCTTATAAGAAGTATTCATCTTAGAGAAATATTTGAATTCGCACTCTTCTAAAACTCACTGAAGCACGGGTCTGTATGTAGTGAACGAGTTAATTTGTAAAGCAGATTTTTTCCCTCGTTTTAAGGGGTCGTAGCATGTCCATTCGTATAGTCGCATCTCGTACATTCAGTTTACTTCGGGAGCGGTTGACTCCTGAATTCGGACTATAACTACTTCCAAATTTCGAAATCTTGATTTCGAATGTTTAATTACCTTTCTTATAGATCGTCATATTTTTGCCGGCCTTATGTAAGAAAATGGGTGTTCCTTACTGTATTGTGAAGGGAAAGGCACGACTTGGTCAAATAGTGCGTCGCAAGACTTGCACTTGTATCGCCGTTACTTCCGTGAATCCGTAACATTTTGATCGTCTTTATTTGAATACCTGTTATTTCATGTTTAATAGAGAGGACAAACCCACTCTTGCAAAGCTGATCGAATGTGTGAAAACGAACTACAACGATCGATATGATGAGG